GGTGGGTATAGCATGTAGGTATAGCATGTGGGTATAGCAAGTGGGGTGGGTATAGCATGTAGGTATAGCATGTGGGTGTAGCAAGTGGGGTGGGTATAGCATGTAGGTATAGCATGTGGGTGTAGCAAGTGGGGTGGGTATAGCATGTAGGTATAGCATGTGTGGTGGGTATAGTATGTGGTTGTAGCAAGTGGGGGTTGTGTGTGAGGACAGCATGTGGATATAGCAGGTCAGCATAACGTAAGGACAGTGTGTGAGGACTGCAAGTGAGGTTAGCATGTGGAATTTGCATGTGATAATAGTATGTGTGGTGCACATAGGAGGGTAGCAGATGTGAGGAGCATGTGGGTGTAGCATGTGACGATAGCATGTGGGTATAGCATGTGGGGATAGCATGTGGGTATAGCATGTGACGATAGCATGTGGGGAGAGCATGTGGGTATAGCATGTGACGATAGCATGTGGGTATAGCATATGACGATAGCATGTGGGGATAGCATGTGGGGATAGCATGTGACGATAGCATGTTTGGATAGCATGTGGGTATAGCATGTGATGACAGCATGAGGATAATGTGTGAGAGCTCTGCTGCTGAGAACTTTTGACGAATCTACAGTTTTTATTTTATTATTTCCTCTGCATTGACACATATATCTGCTGTGTTCATTAATTCCTGTTAAGAATATAAATAAAATAACAACAAAGATGATGCGCAGAAGCATTCTGACCGTGGAGGAGAGATAAAATTTAAATCTCAAGCCAGTCATTTCCACTCTGCCCTGATCTGGCAGTGCTAGTTAACAAACTCTGCTGGTTATATAAACTAGCTGCTTGCACATCCTGGGGCTTAGTCTTGCTGCTCTCTCTCTCATTCTGGTGTCAAGCTGTAGTACCGTGAAATTCAGAGCTGGTTGTCTCCTGGTTCTGACGCTCCTGGGCATCGTTTCCTGCCCCCCCCACGTGTATCATCGCTTCAGGTCCCTCCACCCCCTGGTGTGCTCCACACCTGGGTTTCACGCCTGTCTGTTTCCTCTGATGACACCTTGGTGGCCATCCAGAAACATGAGGTTCCTCTAACGCAGCAAGCACAGTTACCATAGGTGGAAAACGCCGCTCACAGTGGCCAGAGCACAGCTGGCGGTGCCTCATGCCAGACCTGAATAGCATCAACATTGTCTTTTAACCGCATCAGTGTAACTCTATTGTATTTCACAATAGAAGGCAAGGAATTCATTTGCCATTTTAAAACAAGATAATTAGTCTCACATGCAGCTCTGCAACAGTTCAGCCCTTAATTAGAGAACCACTGGATCCATCTGTTTCTGTTTTGGTATCTCTTATTAAGCCGTGTGCTTATGAACAGTACGGATCAGGGCATGACTACATGTCACACATGGGGTCACACATGGGGTCACAAAAACAATGCGGCTTCAGTATAGAGCCCATATCAGAGTTTTAGACTCTTTTGTACATTGATGAGACCACATTGGGATCCACGATGCGTTTGACCCCCATCAAATCGTCAAAACCATTTCTGACATTGGTGTTTCTCTCAAAGAGGGGTGTGGTGCAGTGGGCTAGGCCTCTGGGTCTGTGATCACAAGGTTGCTGGTTCAAGCTTGGCCTTGATAGAATAGTCACATGATGCCAAGCTTGTTCCCACCTGTATGGAAACAAGATGGAGAAAAGAATGGTTTTCCCACAAAGATTATAAAGTACCATTGTTCTATTTTTGCCTACTTTATGAATATTGTGTTATATTGCGCATATATTATTATGTGTGCATGCTTAATCACCACTGTGAAAATGTGTTTTTTATACCTTACTAATTGGAGGTGCTAACAGATCCCTGTTGCTCTGTAAACTGGGACAGAAGCCTCAAGAGTCGATGGGGGAGACGGTGGGACGGTGCCATCTCTGCTAGTGTATGAAACTCCCTACTGGGTCCCGCGGTCCTGGATTCAGTACCACTGAACTTTGAAATGTGAGCTAAGGATCCCGCTGAGGCCCCGGAGACTTGAACGTGCCGATCAGGAACAAGATAGCTGAGCGCGACTTCCAGGACCGCGTGGTGAGCTGCACAATTAGCCGCTCTCTGTAAATCCCGTAACCGAGGGGTCACGCTCCCGGCCCTGGAGTCTCTCATTACCGTCGCCGTGTCGGGATCACTGCTTCCAGTGCTGTCACTGTACATCGGGATCACTGCTTCCAGTGCAGTCACCTGTCACGTTCCTATATATCACGTTCCGACAAATGCGTACATTTACCACCAAATTTTGTACACCTGAGTGACAGCGCATGCCGAAGTGAGAGAGATCTTTGAAGCAGAACGTATAAAATGTTGTTGAAAATGAACAAAAAAAGAATTTGAGTATGGAAGCCTGAAGAAGTCGGAAGTACAGTCACCGTGGGTATCGGGACTTGGTTGCTAAGCGAGGCCTGGTTATATGGGTCATGCGAGTCCATCAGATGTGTTTATGCTATTAGTTGTGCTTTATTACGCCGTGGTCTTGTGAAATACTGACCCGCACCACTCTCGCCATTAGGGAGTTATGTGTCACATTTTTAGTTCTAATTTACTTAGATCCCGACCTTTGCTGTGTTTCCTGTGAATTTGTCAAAAACAATGGCAAAATTATACAGCTTCACAAGCCGTAAACAGACCTTCTGCTTATAAACCGTATTTGTAATATATAATGTTAATCACTGATTAGTCGATCGATTTGTAGCAAACTTCGCTTCGCTGTTTCGATTTTTTTTTATTATTATTATTTATTTTATGTTGAAAATAACAAGGCCTTCGGACAGACGGCATCTCAAAACTGCAAGTGCCACAATAGTCAGCATAAACCACCCCACCCTGTACATTAAAATCTCCGAACATCTTTACAGACAGATATTCTCAGGTTGTTCTCACAGATACGGCCAACACACAGTGAAGTGACAGTTACAACAATGAAAGTGACATTCTGGTAGATGACTGGTTGGCAGCTGCAGTCACTCACCTCTATGTCACCTTGTTTCAGTGTTTAGATCAAGTGTTTCATCTCTTTCACAGGGCTTGGGTAAAAGCGCCCCCTAGAGGCAACTTTCTGCTCAAATTGCAGAGAATTGAGGCTGTGAAACCCACTGTGGGTAAGATTACTGTGCACTGGAAGTCACTGCCTTCCCAAAAGTCACTGTTTTATCCACTGGATCCAAGCAGGGAGTAGCAGAAAGACTACAGTTATCACCATAAATTTCAAAGGCTCATTTCTCCCTCATTAAAAGTATCTAGGGTACATTTTGTTTTTATGTGTCAATATTAATATTCATTAGCAATTAGCCATTCTTTGTCTTACAGCAGGATCTCATTGTTTTAAATACATAACCCAAATAAAATAATTTGGGGGAAATGGGTTCAGGCAGGAAAAAAACATGGTAAAGTACAGCCTGTCTGGTTTCTATCCTCCTTTTGTTAATTTCTGATCATAGCTCTAAGTGAACATAGCTGGAAAGTGTAATATTATTCATTTCAGGACATGTCTAGAGGATTTGTCATAGACAGAGCAGTTTTGGCAATAAGGCAGATGACCATTTTAAATACTATTAGCTTCTCCCTGTCCACTTCCAGCTAACCCACTGTACAGTAGGCCGCTCCTAACATTACACACTGCCACATCCTCTTTGAACTGACCGGACCACAGTTCCATCTAGTGGTGGAAAAGAAATGAACATGAATAGATCTGGTAAAACATTAATATGTATGAATAGGTAAAATTATCAATTTATAATCGTCTACTTGAATAAATGCATCAGCTACCCTATCTTTGGTATAAATACCCATAAATGAACGTATCTGTCAAGCTCTAAACAGAAGGAAAGGTTAACAAGATGCATACAAACGCAACAAACTATCCACTTGCAGCTACAGTATAACATCAATAGCATGTGGCTTTCGAAGGTGGCTTTCATTTACAATGCTTCTTCTATAGTACATTGTCACCGTAAGAAGAAACTGAGTGACAGCAGTTGAGGACCATTAGTTAAATTCAGCAGACAGAGTAATACAGCAGAGCATTTATGCTTGTTCTCAAGTCGCTCTGTGGTCTCCGGCCTTGTGACATCAGTTAGAAGCCAACCCAGCGGGACCAAAATGCCACCAATATACAAAAATAATGATTCAGGTTGTATCCACTCAGTTTTATCAGGACTAGGTGATAAAAATCAATGTGAAGAAGGTGGGCTGCTCAGTTCATAACCATGGCATCCTCCATCACTACAAAAATATCCCATGTCACAGAAGCCCGATGATTCCAAAGAAGGTGTCCTCTCCAGAGAGGGAGATGTTTGCAGTCTGACGAGGAATCAACAGCTCCACCCGGTCCCCGGCCTCCAGCTTCACTACCCCTGGAGAGACACAACCAGAGGAGTAAATTCTGGTACCTCACTTGCTCCCTAGACCCAGTGTTGCCCAAGCATGACTAACCAGGGCACCAGGAGATGACCTGGCTGCCATTGAGCAAAACCCCTAACCTCCAAATGCTCCAAGGGACGGGTTCACCCAGGTTTCTCTCAAAAAAGTTTGCACAAAAAACAACGGTGAAATAACTTAAATGAAAATGTTAGAAAAAGACCCACAGTTATAATGGATTAGAAATTGGGTGGCTTGGTGGCAGTGAGTTTTATTCATACTGGGAGAAGCGGATTCCATAATCCTGGTTGATGGGAACATACCTGCTGTGTAACAGGTGTTGTAGGGATGGTCTTGGTTCATGTTCTGGATGCAGCGGAATAAAGGGATTTTCTGCGGGTTGTTTCCAACCATTTCTTGCTTTATTCGGTTGATGACATGACCCATCGCGAAGGTCTTATCCATGTAATAAACCTGGCAGAAACATAAGGCTTTATCTATCTCCAGCTGACATAATAAAAAAGTAATAAAAGGCAACTGCATAATTATAATGACATAATAAAGAAGCCATAAAAATAATTACATTCAAGTATTGCAAGTAAGGGTGTGTCGGATTTTTAAGTACATGATGGAAAAAAAAAAAAGATTATTGGATGCCACTGAAATAGTGTAGAGATGGAGGACATCAATGCCGTGGTTAAGAACCAAGCATCCTGTTTTCTTCACATTGATGTTTAACATCTAGTTCAGATAAAATTGAGTGCGGATCCAGCCTGAATCACTATCTTTCTGTGGTGTTGGCATTTTGGTCCTGCTGGGTTGACGTGTAACTGATGTCACAAGCCCAGAGACCACAGAGCGACCTGAACTTACTGAGCTGGTTATTATTTAATTAATTGTCTAGCCAATGCTTTTATCGAAACAAGTTGCAGCTTAATTCATTTACAGACCCAGATTTTTCCAGCAGAAATGTGGGTGTTAGTGACTTCCAAAGGCAAAAAGGAACCGGCAACAGATCACGGCTCAGTGTCTTTAGTCATTATAATAAAAGATGTAGGTTAGTAGAACAAGTAATCTATAATAAAATATCCCTTTTGCTGGGTTACTGAATAGGGGCTTCTATGTCTTTTATGGATCTTTGCACTTTGTGGGTCTGGCCCATAGATTTTATACTGCATAATACAGGTGGGTCAATGGAATATCAGCGCCGCCCTAGAGGTAAAGTGGGAGAGCTGCAGCACTGAAGTGTTAAGCTAAACTCAAGGCAGGAGTAGTTAGCAGAGCTGAGGAGCAGACTGAAGGGAACTTACAGTTATCTACTGGTGCATATGACAGAATGACACCTCGAGTCCCTTTAGAGACTGTAAATATGAATATAAATGCACTTCTTTTTCACAGTTAGATTTGCACTGTTGGTTTGTGCTAAATGTAGTTCTGTAGGGGGTTGGCATGTGTGCGGAAACAATGAACAGGAGCCTACCTGGCCGTAGACGAGGTAGAGCCCCCCCTCTATTACCAGGATGGTGTTTTTGTCCTCCAGCAAGGTGTCGCCCCTCCTCAGGCCAACTAGCCATGGAATAGCAGTATATGTGCTGTCTGAAATGTGTGGGCACACCATGAGCGCCTTCCCACAAGCTCAGCACAGCACAGAGAAGACACACCTTATCTTTAAAGCAGACAACCCTATATTATATATCTGTGTGTGTGTGTGTTTGTGTGTGCATACATATACAGTACAGGGGTTGGACAATGATACCAAAACACTGGCCAACATAGTGTTTGAGGTTTCATGCCTATAATCGGGCAGCCCGGTGGTCAGTCTTCACTGATTTGCACATTCCATCAGTAAGAGCAAAGCGTGAAGGCCGAATTAGCAGCTGTATATAAAATATTGCAATCCACACAACATAATGAGAGACATGTCAGAGTTCGAAAGAGGACAAATTGTCGGTGTGCGTCTCGCTGGTGCATCTGCAACCAGGACAGCAAGTCTTTGTGATGTATCGAGAGCCACGGTATCCAGGGTAATGTCAGCCTAGCACCACGCAGGACGGAACCACATCCAACAGGAGTAACTGTGAACGCACGAGGAAGCTATCTGAAAGGGATGCCCAGGCACTAACCCAGATTGTATCCAAAAAAACATAAAACCACAGCTGCCCAACTGATGGCAGAATTAAATGTGCACATCGACTCCTGATTCCAGCAAAACTGTTCATCAGGAGCTCCACAGAGTCAATATTCATGATCGGGCTGCTACAGCCAAACCTTTGGTCACCTGTGCCAATGCCAAACATCAGTTTCAATGGTGCCAATATTTACAAATTTTGAGCTGTGGACAATGTGAAACGTATTGTTCTCTGATTCAATTTAATTCAATTTTATTTGTGTAGAGCATTTTCACAACATTACATTGTCTCAAAACACTTTACATTATCTGCACCCAAAGCCCCCAGTGAGCAAGCCAGAGGCGACAGCGGCAAGGAAAAACTCCCTAGAAGGAAGAAACCTTAGGAAGAGCCAGACAGACGGGGTGTGAAGCTAGAGTGACAGCGCTGACAGTTCAGTTCATCCAAAGCCAATTGCACCGATCCCCACCCAGCTCTACACCTCACACTATAGGTCTGACTGGGAGTGAGCAGTTAGCTAGAGCTAGAACTAGACTATAAGCTAGACTGAATAATAAGCTAAACTAAAACAAGTTAGATCTAGTTACACCAACAAAGATACACAGCCACAGTCAGAAGCCATAAGCAAATCATTCATTCTTTTGATTAAAGCTGTTTTTGTGCTATGGTTTGGTCTAAAGCCAGACTGATATTCATTGGCATTATTTTAGGAAAGAAGACAGCTGATGAACATCTTTTTCATGTTGTCATGAGTCCAACTTCGCTTTCTTGCATACATTCAGGAGAGTTACGTGTGGAGAAGGTCCAAAGAGGCTTACCAACTGGACAGAGTGCAGCGTTGGGGTGGATCAGTGATGGTTTGGGCTGTAATATCATGGCATTCCTGAGGTCTACTACTCCCTGCACATTCACCAGGCATGAATATTATTGAGCCACTTTGGAACGTTTTGGAGGAGCGAGTCATGAAACGTTTTACTCCACCAGCATCACACAGTGACCTGGCCACTGATCTACAAGAGGAATGGCTCAAAATCCCTCTGCCCACTGTGCAGGACCTGTATCCGTCATTCCCAAGACAAACTGATGCTGTATTGGCCATAAACCAAGTGCATCAGTTTCATTATCAAACCCCTTTATGTGGGACCTCCTTAAGGGGAGATGGAAAAGCGTCCCAGGAGGCCATCTCATGGAACTGGTGTAGAGGGGACAGTAGGGTCAGCCAGCCCCTGGGGCAACTGGGGTTAAGGGCCTTGCTCAAGGGCCCAGTGGTCGCATCACTCCGCTGACCACAGAATTTGAACTGACAATGTTCTGAGTCCCAACCCACAGAGCTGCCACGAACAAATTCACATTTTTTTGTTTAATACTTTTTTAGTCAGTGCATAATTCCATATATGTTATTTTATAGATTTGATGTCTTTATAATTATTTTAAAATGTAGAAAATGGTATAAATAAACCTTTGTATGCGTAGGTGTGTCTACACACACACACAACTTTTGCACTGTGCCCATGAGGAGAGGTTTGGGAACTGGTGCGGTGTTCATCTAGCCATCCAACAAGATATCACCTAGTTTTTGAAGAACAGAATGAATTCTTCATAGTTCTTTTATCACTGTTCTTTTGCATATGTTCTAATATTACATTGTGTTTTTTAAGTAAATATACAATTACTAACCAGATAAAAAGCCTAATACTAATAACTGCCTAATACTTTTGCACAGTACTGTATATTCATGCTTCTCATTAAAGGGAACTTTGCTGTGCGTTCCCACAATGCACTGGGGTTTGTTTTAACACCTGATCGCCACTTAAAGCTTTATTTGTCTCTTGAATCATCTACACTTAGGTATTCTACACTAAATCACACTGATTATTGGAAAGATGGTGAGTAATATATTTCCCTCAGTCTTTACAGTCAGGTGGTTACCTTTCTGAATGATGCTTCCGTGGCTATTTGCTATCATCTGCAAGCAAGGCTGAAACACTGTGGAGGGAAAAGGACTCCGGTCAGAACAGAATAAAGAAATATCATGACTCCCATCATGGTTTCTACAGAAACAATTCCACACAAACCTCACTGTCCGTTCTCAGAATTTCCCTGTTGGCTGGTACTGCACAACAGGGGCATCGTAAAGGGGGGGAAGTTGGGATGATTCCAGGGTCCCCAAAAATTTGGAATATAATTTCATTGGTCTGCAATGGGGGGCCAACATGATACGCTTTCATGGGATCAAAAATCTCGAGCAGCACCCTTGCTGCACAGTCAAATTAAGAACCTCTCACATTGTGACAGTCAAACTGAGAAAATGACACAACTTTCCATTGGTACAATATGAAACTGAGCAAATACTTTCTGATGTGTTGTTTGGGGGTGGTTTGTCAGCACTGACCACTCAGGGCATGCAGATTCGAATCCAACATCCAGCTCTGCATGATCTCTGCGTGGAACTTTCCTTGACAATCATTCATACCAGGTAGTTCCTGCCATCACACTTCTCCCATTTCCTCCCACATGCTCCTCTGTTGACTACATAATTTCCAATGATACTGTAAGCCTGTTACTAATGCAGACCAATATTCTATAGGCAAGACAACCTCAAACAGGAAACACAGACATGGCTCAGACACATTTCACACTAGATAGCCCGACACCCACAATATTCACACTACAAAAATATTCTTACATCTACAAAAAAATGAGCAACCAAGTTTCAAGTCAGGTGGAAACTTTGACTGTTTGCTCTTGTACTGGCATTTTAATTGCAAGCGATACCTTTGAAACACGCAACATTGCCTGTAGACAACAACAAGCCTCCTTCCTTAGACATTCCTAGACAGCAATGGTCAGCGGAGCCCTTGGCCACTCCTTGGACCAGCCACGCATTTACTGTACCTGGTTTCTCCAAGACTATCCTCGTGCCCCGCTCCTTTGCCTTTGGTGTTTCCATAGTGGGCCTTGCTTCATGTGGACTGGGGGAGTGCTGCGGACCACAGTTGAAGAAGTTTATTTCCAGACTGGACAAGAGGCAAAGAAGCACGTTCAGGTGTCAGGATATCATTTGGAAAATGGTTCGGTTTTAAATTTAATCCTAAGTCCTGTCAAACAAACTAGAGAAGAAAATTGAGGAGTTATTTGGGTACAAATGTATCGCTACCCTGCTAGTGAGATAAGTGGTTTTAGGTTTGGCTTTGAGGTGTTTATTTTCAGTAAACAGCTACAAAAACTGCAAAGCACAGTCATCCTCCCTAAAGTCTCTCCGCAGTGGTATAAATTCAATCAAAGCAAAAGAGGACTAAGCCTGAGTTGAATCTGTGGTGGATGAGAACCAACAGGAAGTGGTGACCTACCCACTGTCCATCCCTTAACATCTCGGCGTTGCCTGCCTGCTGCTGGTGGCTGTTCTTTTCCCAGGACAAATGGGAGCGCAGAACAGTCACCTCAGCCTTCAGGGCCAAGGTGAAGTAGAGTGAGATGGCAGCCAAAAAGAAAGATGCAAAGGCTGCCAGACCCATGGCCAAAGCTGTCCGGGAGATGCCCCCTTGCCGTGACTCTGGGCCCCCAGGGGCCACCTCGTAACCAGGATCTGTAGGCATGGTAGGCCGCTTTCCACGGGGCGAGCGGGACCAGAGCTCACCCTGCGTGCTGCTGTCGAGATGAATAGCCGTGAGGAAGAGAAAACTTCTCTCGATTCTGCATATATAGCGTGCGGAGCTGCACACTTCCTGTCTGACTGTTCAGCAAATTGCGTACGCGCATCGATCATCTAATTTTTTAATTTGGACTGAATGATCTAAATATCATACCTCAGCCTGAGATCAGAGATTGCAAATATGAAAGATCAGGCAGTTGCTACAAATACAGGACATTCACTTTTAGGCTGAAACACTCTCTTAGATGTCATTATCTCACTGCTCCTCCTGGTGATGACCACTGGTTGTTCTTTGTAAATATGCACTCTTCATGATTAAATAATGCATATAAAACATGTCAAAATAAACAGTTGAAAACAGAATCGGCATGTTCAAAGATTTTAAATAGAAAAAAAACTATATATTGGCCTGAAATACTCATTAATGTTGCAGTAATTATTTTAATGGTAGTCATACACTAGCACCATCGTTAAAGATAAATGTCAGTGATCAGTGTCCCAAGTGCTGCCATTAATTTGAGCTGTGAATCACACAGGTTTTGCTCTATATTAGTCTTTTCAACTGTATACATTTTGACGTTTTTCTATCCCTTTGATTTTAAGCTTCTTTCATGGAATGTACATGACTTTGCTACATTTGACGAATGTTTTTCTTTTTAACACATTCTGTGCTACTCAGTTATGTCATAATTTGGTGTGTAAATTCTGAGTCTTGATATCATCCTTTTTATGAGAAAAAAAAAAACTACATGCGTATATTGAAGTTTCTCAGTTTTTAGTCTCATCTAACATGAAAATTTGCAGGCACTACAACTATAATCTTATAAATGTTGAGATTAGAGTGTCTATGATATGGGAATGCAGGGGTTTCATTGGGGACCTTTCCCTGGCTTAGTATTGTGAAGGAATATATGGTTAGTGCCAGGCGGAAATGAATATCTTTGTTTATTCGTCTTCTTGGTTACATGTTGAAGTTATCTGATAGACATTTATTAACTTCATAACGTCTGAATGAAACTGAAATACAAACGTATTGCTTAGTTTATGATCCACTGCATAGACACAAACATTACAGACAGTTTTAGAGTTTAATGCTGAATGATTATTGCCATCGTTTTCCGCCTACATATGCGGATTGGTGAAATTTGAAAATGAAACTTTTAGTTGGCATTTTAACCTCAAACTAACCAACGCTGCAGCACGTCATTGTGTTTACATGTAGGAGGTGTTCCAATTACACAATGGGTGCACTCTATTTCCTCTCTTTTGACGGAGCTCGACATGAAACATACATATACAAACTTATGTGAATAAAATATTAGGAAAACATCAAGTGATTGTATTACTAATAAATATAATGCTGCGTTTTGTTGTTATTTCTAGTATAACTCCGGTTAATATTTGAGTTAATATTGTTTTATTTATAGGATAATACATAAATTATGAAATGTATATTTTTCCCCATAAGGGTAGCGCGTGGATCATTGCGGAACCGAATATGCGTTTTGTTTACCGTCTAATGTGAATAATATCGATGTTTGATGGATTATCAGGGGTGAGTTTTGGCAGAAAATGTTTAAAATATATGCCTCATTTCGCACAGGATTACTCTGAAATAGTTTAGCGCACAACGTTGCAACTTGGCCGACCAGATCTAGTAAGGTCTCTCGATTCCATCAATGGATGTCATGTCCGCGCGTTATACCTATTTAAAGTAAAGAGCTCAAGATTAATGGGTGCGACAATCAACGCATTTTGCGTTTGTCTGGTTCTAAAGGTCAATGCGACCCAATACCGGAGCGTAGGGTGAAATGAGTACCGTGCGTAATGGAACATGACAGTACTGCTTCCCGCTTGTCAAACCAAAGGTGTCAAAGGTGTTAAAAAACCAAGCACAACAAATTGTAATTATCTCAATCAATAAATCATATTAATAAATAATTCGTGTCGCGCACTGAAGAGAATTTCAAACATAAGCAATTGCTATTTTTCCATAGTTTCAAAATGTTACTTCATTTTGTTAGTATGGAACACAAAGCAGACAAGGTAACATATGCGCTTTGGCAGTGTTGCACAACGGAACACAAAGCGTGTAACCATCAATTACGTATTTCCGCGTTCACCGGAAATAGGGTGCGTAATATTTGCTGACATCAGCTTACGTAAATATAAAGACTAGTCCGAATTCAGCAGCTGCGTTCTTCGAGGGACGCGGTCTGTATAGCCTCCGCATACCCTTTGTAGGCTGAATCCTTCGAAGGTTCGCGCAATGAATCTTGGGATCTCGGCAACGAAATAGCCATCGAAGTGGGACAGCCTTGTCGCGCCGCTGTGACGTATCGGACTTCGAATCCAGCCTAAGGACGCAGCCAGTGTATCATTTCGCAGTGGTGTGTTGAGTGTCGAAGTATTTTATGGTCCCATTTATGAATTGACATCATAGCAGGAACAGGCATATATGCATATCCGCCATTCAAATAGTTATAAATTTTGTAGTATATACATAGTTGTAAAAATACACAAGAAACACGGAAAAGAAAAACGGCTTTTAAAATAAGATTTTATCCTTTAAAAATTTCAATGTTTAACACCAAAAATAAACCCGGCTTCTGTGCCTTTTTAACGAAATAAATATTTCTCAGACGTAAGAATCGTAGAGATATGCTTGTCTTTTCTCACTTGAGAAGAAATAGCTCTTTTTTTCTTTTCTGTAAACACTACTAATTTACGTTACGAATAGAAAATATTCTGACCTGGAATAAACGTCGAAGTGTGTGTACTCGCATTTTAAACGTTTTCTTCTAGTCCGTCTGCATCTTGGCTTTTTGTTATTAACAGGGCTCTGCTTCGAAATGTAGGAGGCGGTCACTTAGTTTCTGTCCCTTATTGTAGGCCTAGTAATTTGTAAATTAGGGAACGACCTATGAGGAATAGGGTAATAGCATTTAACCTTAAAATATGGGGACATCTAGTCCTGCCTTTCCCCCCAGTTTTGTCTTTAAGGCGAACAGTGAGTAACATGGAGTGCTGAAATCTCTGAAACATTTACAACACTAGCAGCTGACAGAAGGGATTGCATTTGAGAGGAACTTTATACCAAAAATAGATTGGTGTTTAGAACTGGTTTTATTTGCTGGAGTCGCTCCTGTTGTAGTGCAATATTCTGGTCAAATCATTCAACCTGCTTGTGGACATTACAGAGAAATCCCCTGTCACTTGTGTGTGTGTGTGAACCAGTAAATATATATTCATCACAAATAAATCCAGCCAAACCAAATTGCTCTGAGAAATCTCTGAAATGAGATGAACGATTCCTGACTTTCTTGTAGCTGGTAGCTTTTGTGGCTACCTAAGTGAGTATATGTTTCAAAATATAAGGTTCTGCAGTTTCCTTCCAATAACAACCTCTTGGGGGCGCACAATGACTATAAGCTACCAAGCTGGCACTCAGACATCACTATCACTTATCTGAGGTTGATAAATGTCTGGTTCATGTAGGAATCCCCCAGCACAGAGGTCACATTGTTTGACATCACCTTACACCAGTGCTTCCCAATCCAGTCCTCGGGGACAGGCAGACAGTCCATGTTTTAGCTCCTGGTAGAGAGCTGGAAGGGAAAATGTGGGCTGTCTAGCAAGGAGCTGCGATGGGTCAAAAACGTGGACCGTCTGTGGGTCCCTGAGGACTGGGCTGGGAAACAATGTCTTACACTAAACTTTCTGCTGCTTTTTTGTGCTTGTGGCTGGAATGCTGTGCTATTTATTGCCATATAAGCCTAAATTTCTAGATTACAGATCTGTATCACTCACCAGCTGCGAGACAAACATATGGATTTCAACACGTGGCTTCCATCACACTGACGTTTCATCCATTCTGCTGACTCTCACGCCACGTTAGGCACAAAGGCATTGAGGTCGGATTCAATACATTTAGAGTGAAGGCAGCGTCGGTCGGGCAAGTAACATCAGCAGGACCTCACATGGGTTCATTTGGCAATGGTGTCACATGCACTCGATTTTCTCTAGACAAGAAGGCTAATTGGATTAACAAATGAATCAATAAATCAAACCTGATTTAATGTCCAAAACAAAGCAAGGGGCAGCAGAGACTTGTGGGAAGACATAGATACCATGGATTACAATTAACCAGTGGCACAGCACTTTGCTTTGGAAGTGAAATAGCAGCATTATAGTCAAAAGAAAGGGGCCACAAACTAAATTAAAACATTAGCATGAAATACAACCAGTGACAGAGAACCCTAAATGTAATCATTGTCGCACATCTCAAGGGACTGGGGTTCCCTGGTGTGGCGGACTTGGGGTGATGGGTAGCTGTCCTTGGTGGGAGACGCTGTGGCAGGGAAGGAGGAGGAGTCTCGTGTCAGAGAGGTGGCTACCCCAAGAGATCCAGGAGGACTCATATGCTGAAAATGACAGTATGCACAGGAATGGGGAAGGGCAAGAGAGAAATGGGATTCAGACAAACAGAGAAGGCCCTTCACTGTGCAACAGAGCTACTGGGGAGGCAAGCAAAATGTGTGACTGTGCACAGTGACTGTGTCGTCTCAGTGTAGAGGAGTACTGGTGAGCTGTGTCTGTCCAGGTATCATACGTGTGTCTGTGCTGTTTTGCTGTTTGCACCTAAAGCTTCTGGTTATGTCTTTCTTGTCTGCTGACCTCAGCTTTCAGAAAATGTAATATTTTTTTTTCCCCTCAACAATACCACACAAATGTTCCCATGAAAACCCTCTGTCTAATTTGGTGATTATTTCTCAACCCAGAACACTTATCAGGGACAGTAATGCAGCTATCTGGTCTGATCAGATATCAGATCACACCATGAAAAATTAAAAAAATAAAAATAATTATATGTATATAAAATTAGTAAGATACTGCCACTAGTAAATTATTTAAAAGGTACTCTGAGCTTTTTATACATTTGTGGTTCAGATAAAAATACATGTACTTGAAAGTTTTGTTTTGAGTTTTCAGAGATCAGTATGTTACTCTTCAAGATTAACAAGACAGACCCTTAAAAGCTGACTGGCTTGGGTGTGAATAGTAACCCAGTCCCTTGTGTGCTTGTGTGCTTGTGTGTGCACTGGAGCCTGTTTGAGCAGGAGCAGCAATTCCTCTGGGTGCACGAGAGAGAGGCTTTACTGTACTGAGCCCCCCATGAATTCTCAGCAGGAGAAGGCGATGATGGCTCAGTACAGTACGGCCCAAACTGTGTCTGACGCACCGATCCAGCAACCCGGCGGCTTCCGCTGCATCACCCTCACACTCTTGTTAAACACACTCACAGAGAAATCTTTAGTATCAGTACTGTAACATCCGTGACCTTCAGGTCTATCAATAAATATGTAGATCAAAGATATACAGGGGATACAGGTATCATTTGTCATGCGTATCTTTTTCTGTCCATCATTATGGAATTATTATGCAGACAAGTAGTGGACTCAGGAGCGGGGGCGGTGGTGGGGGGGGGCGGGGACGGTGTTGCTGGCTGATTGCGGTGAATTGGCTGGGATTTGGCCGGGGCTGCAGCTATTTAGGACCTCCCCCCTGTGCAGTGTCGACATACATGCGCAAATAAAGGGTACATTTCCCTTGCAAATGAACATGCCTTTCAGCTCCTCCACCAATCAGTATCTGTCAGTCCCTTAAAGTAAGGAAATGGCGTGGGGTGACACCTTGCGGGGGGGGGGGGGGATTGGGGGGTGTCCTTGGCAGGAGATAAAAGGAAGGAACTGGAAAATCCCCCGTTAATTCATTCTTGCTACAGGAATGAAACACATCATAGCAGGAGCAGTAAGGCAGACAATGCTTGCTGTTCTGCTTGTGTCATGAGCTGTGGCCTTCTATACGTCTACTGAATATTTAATAAATGTTATTTTCAAACAAGGTTGTGTCTATTTTTATAATGTCCTCCTTGTCCCTCCCCAGGTGTATTATATATTATGACATAATTATGCACAATTTAAACAAACATCTTCTCAAGTAACACATCATCTTTCCTTTTGAGAGGTGTGACCACTAACCACTGTGCCACCCAACAAGACCAATAAACACCAATAAAGGTTTGTTTGCCCTTAACCGGATGAAGACAACTGATTAGCAGTAGGATGTTCTTCATACTGAAGTTTTTGATCTCGGGCTTTCCGAGGGCTTGTCAGACCTTGTCA